TGATACCCTTAATTGCCCAATGCCAGCTATTTTCTTCTGTAGGTAATTTTTCTCATTGAACACACTTTTGTTTGGCTTAAACCGGTTTAAACCTGATGGTTTAAACCACAGCTTAGTTTGAACCAGCTTGAACCACTGTTAAACCTGATCCAAACAGTTTAAACCATTTCTCGCTTTTAATCCTGTGGGGTGGTCTAAACCACCACAACATTGGCAATGTGGTGGGTTAATCTCAAACCACCCTGTTGCTCACCAGTTGATGCCACAGTTGTCCCTTGTGCAATCTATCATCATTCTGGGCCCCGGTATTTGGTTAGTGGGTGGTGGTGTGTCGATGCGGTTGTGGTGGACTGCTAGCATAGATGAAAAAGCAAAGCAGGGTTGATCTGGACCGGCAAAATCTGCACACTCTGCTGTGTTGATCACTAGTAGATCCACTACCATATTGACAGTCACCAAGCTTTCAACCCAAGCTCAAAGGCCAAGATCCAGTTCCTTCTATAGAAGGGAAAAATATTGCTATGATTTTCACTTTTACTATTCAACTCAAGTCTACTTGAGTGACTACAAGTTGACTTGTGTTGACTTCACAAGTCAAATCAAGTCGACTTGAGACTTGACTTGACTTGGCTCAAGTCGACCTCACCAAGTCGACTTGGAAGCCTTTCGAGTCAAGTCGCAGCAACACTAGGTACAACCATACAGGCAAGGAGGGCCTGTGGGTCGACGCGCGCACATCCTAGACGGAGATGCACTCTGACCCAGCCAGAGTGTAGTGTGCAGCGGACCAACGGCATGATGCATACTACCCCTCAGTCCAGGGGTCAGTAGCAGGGAGGACCTGGAGGACGACATGCACTTCTCCTGGACATACCCTGCACCCTGGCCCAGCCAGGTTGTAGGTGCAGCGGCCCAGCGGGATGATACGCACATCACCAAGATGGAGGATCATATGGTGGACTTCCCAGCACAGCTTGGGCTCGGGATGCTTATGCCCTGAGTTCCTCCTACACCACGACAGTGGAGTACGCAGGGACGCAGCACCAGAAATTTTTTCCCTCCCAGCAGTCGGGTTTGGGGGGCCATTGTGATTTGCGATGATAGGTGGTTTTCTCATGTTTTACTTGCATGCAGGTCTACCTTGGGCATGCGGGGGGCTCTGTGATGGGGTGTCCTATGGCATTTCCAAGGCAGACGCTGCCAGACCTATAGATAGATTACCATATCTTAGATCACATGTTCCTATATTGTTACATCATGTAGATCACGTAATACAATCTTAACTTGCCATCTACCATGATATAGCGAGTCTGAGATCACCCCGGCGAACCACCATTACGCGTTAGACCAACTGCCTGGCTGAGCATCCGTATAACTGCTCCATGGCCTCGGTGCTGCAGAGGCTCCTGTCCAGGGTAACACGACCCCTTACCGAAGGGTTACAACAGTATACATTACTTCTACTATGGCTACTACCCACAGTGAAGCCCCTTCGAACTACGATGCGTCTCCCGACCCGTGCCGCATCACATGTCCCAGTGACCTAATATTTCGGGAGGGAAAACTCATATACCTGGCCAAACATGTGATAGAGCCGGAATTGCAGATATTTTAGTTGTAGTTCTTGTAGCTCCTTTGGATATATTTAGCAATTTTGGCATGCAGAAATATTGCAAGGATCGCATTTATATCGAGGTTTTATATGATTCTGGCTCTATCACATGTTCCCTTAGGTATACAAGTTGTCCCTCTCAAAATACCAGGTCACTGGAACATGTCCTGAACATGCAAAATGGTATTTAGCACGAAAATGGTCCAAAAGCACAGATTACCTAATATAGAATATTTTTATGAATCGCTCTCTGTCAATAATTGCGCATAAATTAGCCCGACAGATCTAACTAGGTTTCAACCAAATCGGCAGAGAACTGGTTGAGATTTTAACAATTCTTTGAAAACATCCCAAAACACAAAGATTTTGACCGCGCCTTCGGTTCCGACATTAGCTGTAAGCGAGTAGAGGTGCGTTCTCCAGAGCGTCCTCGAGCTCCCGATCTCGCAAATTCCTCCAAACGCATGCTTCCAGAATTCGTTCGTAGTACGCATCGTCACGCTATGTATCAATGGTGGCCTCGATATTTAGCGCTTTCCCCAAACGATACGGTCCCGGTTGCATCACGAAATCAATACAGGCGGCCCATACTTGCGTTCTGAATGCTGCGCCCTCAGTACCTCCGCCTCGTCTGCAACACAACACAACACATGTCAGTCCTGCCCCACCCATCCAAACTAGATAAAATCACAACTCACCAAAGCTCTGTGCGCTCGCCTCCCACCCCTCATCCGTCCACCACACAAACAAGAAATGATACCCGTCGAGGAATATATACCTCAGGCCCAGGCACCTGCCTACGAGCGCCTCGCGCATGTCGTGGAAGTCGGGGATGGCGGAGGAATCAGGCGGCGCGGGGTCGTTCCCTTGTGCGGAGTCAGTGCTGCCGTATGTGAAGGGGAAGTCCCAGGCGAGGGAGAGGGAGTGGAGGGTGCGTGGGAGGAGCGGGCTGGCGGCGAGGGTTGGGAGGAGTGCGGTCGCCTGTATGTACACGTATGGGTTACTATTCAGCGAAATGCGTGTAGAGAAGAAGGGAGATGCGCAAAGTGTACCTGAGGCGTGAACCCACCGTCCTCCTCCGCGTCGGGCATGATCGTCAGCTGCAGCGCCGTGAGGCGCGGAAACATCATAAACAACGTATCGAGCTCCGCCCTGCCGAACGCCGCTTGCGCGGAGGAGGTGAAGCGCGCGGTAAGCGAGGTGATGTTGGGGAGCGTGTTGACGTTCTGCAGCTCCGTCAGGAGGTTGCGGAACGGGTACCCGGCGTCGAGGGTGATGTGCGTGAGAGTGGATCGCTGGACGAAGATGTGCAAGTTTTCGTAGGGGCCGGTATACTCCTCGAGAAAGGGGAAGATCGAGGAAGCTTGCGGCGGTGTGAGATTTCGAAGAACTGCGCGATAGTCGCTTGAGAAGGTGCGGACGCCGGGGAATTTGGTGAGGATGGCGAGGGTGTCGCCGATTCGCGGGGGAAGCTCGGTCACTGTTAGCGTATGCACGTTCGGGAAGGGCTGAGCTGCGGGTTTGGCTACGGCGGTGAGATCCGAAAGATCGAGTTTCCCGAGGGTATCGCGAGACAAGAGGGAAACCCAGAGATCGTTCATCTGCTCATCGTAGCGTGTAATGAAGCTCTCGACGCGCAGACCTAAGCCCTCGACATCGATACGCTCGCCGGCGGCGACTGTGCACGCCAAGAACTCCGCATGCGTGAGCGCAGGCAGTGCGCACAGGTTCGCGATCCCGGTTTGCGTGAACTGGATGCGGTCGGTATACAGCCGTTGCAGTTTCTCGAATGTCGGGAGACGCTCGAAGAACGCATTCATCAAGACGTGCGGGGCCCCTGCGCCATCCTCCACCAACTCCGACCCTTGCTGCCACATCTGCGGACTGTACCTGGCGGTGCACGTACGTACGTGCGGCGCGATCCTGGATGACGACCAGAAGTCTAGACGCGCCAGGGCATCGTCGATCTGCGCCTTCGGAGGCCGGTACTCGTACGGGTAAGGATAGAGCTTGAATTCGGTGAAGCCGAGCGGGCGGGCGAGGGCATGCAAGGCGCGGCGCGTCGAGGAGAGACTTCTGAGAGCGTCTGAGGGAAGGTGGGAGAGCACACGAAGCCAGAGCTCGTTTGGAAATCTGTCGGTGAGGTCCATGGTGATGGCGTGAAACAAATCTCGACGTGCCTAGAACCGGTACGCCGCGGTGTCGCCTAGTCTGTGTTTTGATGGCAGGTCACCATGGGCGGTCAAATCACGGAGATACATCAGGCACGTGACGCACAAACAAGCTCGCGACAACGGCGACGCGCCTTTCGTATACACGCGTAGATGACTGTTATACGGCTGTTTTCACAGCTGTATTTCTTTTGGAACCTTCCTGGCGTCTATTGCTTCCATTTTTATACCACCGAGGGCTTCACTTTGGTCCGAAAAATCTTGCTTGGAGTCCTGCCCACATTCGAGCCTCGGGAGTTTCGGTTTCGACAAAGTGATCCAAATAGTATTCCCTTGAGCAGGATCCATCACCGATGCATCCAAAGTTGCGGTGTGAGCCGGGCGCGTGCTGGACGTGGAGGTTTGTTCCACTGGCAAATTTGTTGACGCGTTGGGCGAAACCCCGTGATGAGCTGGGTGATTGATGGCTTCTCAATTAGGACACTCCTTCCTTTTTCGTCACGGAAGGTGCCGAACCTCGACCGCCCATCTCAGCAGCGCGACCGAAATCAGACCCTATTTTAAAAACTTTTCCCACTCACTCCTAAAAAGGAAAGTTTGTCATTGGGTCTGACTACGGGAGACTAGGTGTCGCCGCCGAACTCCATGGGTATTTTTCAGCGGATTCCGTATATCTAACGGGAATGGAAACTGATTGGGTGTATCGAATGCGGGAGTCCAGATGGCCTGCAGGAGGGGCGCGTTCAAGTAAACTCGAAGCACTTTGGAAGAAATTGGTGGAAGTCCAACGGTGGATAAGGCTGTCAGCAGCTCGCAAAATGGTAGAAATTTCTCGTGGGTGCTCTCGGGGGGAAGCAAGTTCAGCCAGGCGCCGGGAAACGTCAGGGTCGGCTTGGGGGCGGCAGCCAAAGGCTCAAGGTGACACGTGAATGGCATAAGCGCATCAAGATCAAGATACTGATGGCTGGTTGCCTCGATGTCGAGGGCTCCCCACACCTTTCCCCTCATCTTAAAAAGTTGGAAATATTCCTGAGGGTGGTTACGAGGCATAAGATTGAATTCCAGGTGTCTGTGGAGATTAGAACCGGATGCAGGAGAAGAAATCGGCCATCTCGTGGTCACCATCATTTCCGAAAATGCTGGCGATGAGTATCGTCTGGGCAACTGCTTGGCATGAAACGGAGGGGAAAGGAAGCAGCAGGGTGTCAAAAAGGAAATGGACGAATCCGGAATTGAACCGGACACCTTTCGCAGGGGCACCACCGATTCTCGTTCAAAGAAATCAGAGAAATGCTAAGCGAACGTGATAACCAACTACACCATACGCCCGTTAGAGGCTGGGGTATAGTTGCAGTAAATAGGCACTGAAGAAGTCAAGGGATTTGAATCATCCGCTCTATCGAAAAATATTTTTCAATACATTTTCAACTCTCTTTCTCTTTTGTCCAATGCACGATAACCAACCACACCATACGCTCTTGCCCATGGCCTTCCGGTGTCGGAGAGCTTGAACATGTTCCGTAGTTGGATTGTGTAAAACTTTGAATACAACATTGGATCCACCGATCACCGAAATTTCCCCGACTTGCCCGCAAGCACATATAATGGGACATGGGCTATTCGGTTCTCGCCGTAACTCAGCAACATGCAGATAGTCTTGGGCACTGGTGGTGATTTTTAAGTACTTTTTGATGAACAAGAAGCGAAAGTTCAAACTATGGCGGACTTCAACAACTCGAAACTTTCGGGGAATAGCTTATGTGCTTTCCGATTGATTTTCAATGTGGAAGACCCTGTTACGACAGTTCAATAATACGCGTTGGACTTGCTTTCCCCCAGCAACACCAACCAGGCACGATATACACATCGTCATTCCGAACCAAAGTCCCGACGAGCCGAGAAAGCGAATCCCAACTCTCCTCGTCAAAGTCCAGGTGCGTTTCCATACTCTCACTGACCTCCAGCATCTCCAGCGGTGCCCCACGCACATGAATCAAAGACAGAAGCTGGCGCAGTTCTTTGAGCACGAGGGGCCTCGTGTCAAATTTATCGTCGCCAGACACGCGCGAGGCAGTGATGTGGATGTGCCGTAGGCGCGTGTCCGCCAGTTGGCTCAGCGCCTGCAGCACCCGCACAGCCGTAATGCTCGGCACAATGTACACCCCCTCGAGGGCGGGAAGCAGGCCAAGCGCGGCCTTCCATGCCTTGAGCGTCGTGAACTGCGGCATGCGATTCCGGCAGTCGAGGTGCGTGATGCCCCGGTCCGACAGTATTCCCAGAATCGGGGCGATGATTTGGGGCAGGGAGTGGGCACGCGGATATGTGGTAATGCTGAACAAGGGCTCGTCTGCGTCGGAGGTGCTCAGGCGCGGGACGGCGGCGTAGGTGCTGATTTTGAAGCCGTTTGAGTTGAATGTGCAATCAAGCCGCAGGCAGCGGATAGTCGGTGCAGATGCTGCGCGGAGGTGCTGGCCAAAGGGGACAAGTAATCGGGTGAGCTTCCCGACGTAATTATCCCATCCATCCCCCGCATCCACCGAGAGTCGAGCGCTCGGGGGGATTGTGAGGTGGCGGAGAAGTTCTTCGCAGGGTCCGACCCACCCCTCGATACATAACGACTGCAGAAGCGGCAGAGACACGACTGGGTACGGCGCAGGAGATTCAGTGGAAGTGACATGACCGACGTTCAGGTGGGTCAAAGCGGGAGACCGCTGCAGCATCGGGAGGAGTTGGTCCATGGGAATGCCGATCCGCTGGGCGAGGGAAAGAACAGTCAACCCGTGGATGAGTTTCCAGTTCGCGTCAACGTAGTGCAGCTCCAGTGTTGTTAGATATGGTGCTCTCCCATCAAACATCGTATCCGGGACCCGTAGTGTGTAGTTGTGGTCCGAGGCTAAACGAAGGGATCGAAGGACGGGGAATTTATGCCTCGGGAGAGCTCTTATAAAATCCATAATACTTTGTGGGGCACCGCGATGGTCGACTTCGCGGAGGCGTCCCACCTGCTGGAGCAGCTGCGAGGCAGATATCTCCTGCTGGAGCAGCTGCGAGGCAAATACCTCCGGACCGAAAGATGTGATCCTGAAACTCAACGGAGCGACCCCGGATCGCGACAGAATCGCATCAAAGAATGCAGGCGTCATGGCGGGAGAGATTTCGATAGTCGCCCACAATTCCGGTTCGCCGAGTGCTATGTTGTACCAGCGCCGACACACCAGCATGACTTGTGTCCATCTCAGGTCGAGCCTCGTGCCTGACCCAAATGCATACGAGGCAAATATTTTGGATGTTATTTCGGTGGGGAGAGCCAAGATCAGGGAGTGGGAGTTTGCCTCCGCTTTGAGGAGCGCAATCTGGTCGTAGTACCAGGCTATTTCCCGGTGGATTTCGCGCAGTCGGGTGCTGGAGAGCCTTTGGTATCGATGAGCTTCACAATAGCCTCTAAACAACCAGAAAGATACTCACAAGGTGGATTTTGCCACGAGGGACATGAGCGCTAAGCACAAGGAGCGATGTGGCTGTGTGCGGTGTTGATGTTGAATCAGTTAACCAGGTTATCAGACGCTCGCTGATTGCAGGCTGGTGGTTCTCACCAGCGCTAGATTTCCCACTCGTCTCTCTATCGGTTTACTTAAATAAACACCACCGGACCCGCAGCGATCCATAAAAGTCATATACGTAGTCACGCACGGGACCGACAGGTTGTCAGCTGCAGAATCTCAGGAAGTGTCAGATAAGAATCAAGCCAGTGTGCGGGCCGACGAGGACCTGCCACAGATGTTCCAAAGTAGCTTGGAGGATGCATCGGGGGCGAGGGATCCATTAGAATAGACCTAGAGTGTGACAGCCTTGAGTGAACGCAGAAACCAGGGTCTCACTGATTGATGAACAGACATTAGTTTGTGGCGGCAACTTTACTCGAGCGTTTGACGCCGTAACAAAGATGCGAAGATAAAATGGATGGCCAACTTACCATTTCTCACCCGACGATACGAAATTCGGCCGGTACATTGCGCTGACAGCCGTAGACGCGATCCCGAAGTGAGACCAATCCCTCAGATCGGTAGACGTGTAGATTTTGGGCCGGATACGAGTAGCATCGGAGTATCCGAGCTGAGAAAAAGTGGGGGGATCAAAAAAAAAATGGAAACATGAGGCGAAGTGCTGACTTGCCCAGTATGAGGTAGTTCCAACTTTTATGATACATGTATGTCTTCCGTGGGCTTGAACCTTTGTGCCACTTGTGTTTGTCCAGACAGCTCCAGGAACGATGAACGAACCGCCAAAGCAGTCGATACGAACGACGGAAGTAAAGCAAAAGCCGCCCCAAACTTCATGGTGAGGATGATGGCCACAGAGGTGGACTCGCGAACTAGGAATATAAGCAGCGACGGTCCGCCGGAGTTTTTTAGAGGATTTTTCCCGGTCAGAAACTCACTTGCGCGTATGGAATTCAACGACAAGAGTGCCCCATGTCTTCCCGAAGGGCTGGCTGTGAACTCGCAACAAATCATGTTTCACAGGGTGAATCACTGGGCGTGCCGGTGAAGAAGCAAATATTCGACGACAACGGCTTCCAGAGGCTTCAAGCAGCACTGAAGAGCCCGGGGTCAGCCACTAGACACGAGGTTAGGTTCATACATTAACATTCCAAGAAAGACTCGGAGTCTCGGACCGAGGCCGCAGGCGACAACGCTGATAGAGGGATTTTTGTCGGTGCGGGCGGAAATGCCGAGAGCATATATTGCGTGCTGAAACTCATGAGTTAGGGGAGCATCTTGCCTGCTGAACTTGATTATGATGTGAGAACAGGAGCAGAGCGCAAAGAGCAAGACCGTGACAAACAGCGGAAAACTAAAAGTGATCCGTTGATCGCTGAGGGACGTTAGTTGAAAACAGGCGAGCGCCGAATATGTCGGCGGAGGCTAAGGCCACTTCTGGTTCTAGATCTTATTTCCACCCTTCTTTTAAAATGACGTCCGTCTGTTAGAAACATGGTCTTAGAAACATCGTCGTCCGCGCCGCCGGTGTATCGCCGCCGCCGCCACCGCCGTTCGCTCCCTTGTTATCCCCTATCCGTCCCCCTCCACAACCCTTATATTTGTCTGTATCAACGTATTCTCTAGCAATCTGGTATTTCCCAGACACTCTACCTGCCTCGAATATAGCGCGGGTTGCTGCAACTATTGTGTCAACAATGCACTCCATCATTCCAAAGCTTCAACCGAAGTGGTGGGGCACGGAGCGCCCCACGGTGCTGTTGTCGTCCTAATATTTCTGTCCATAATCCTTATATCTCCAACATTTATATCTCGTTTTACGCATTAGTACAGGATGGAGGGAGCTAGGTGCTGATATCCTTGGTGAAACGGGACGCCGTCTTCGGGGCCAGAACGGAAACTAGAACCCCTGATCTAGCGAAATCCCGTAAGTTGTTCATTCTGACATATATATATATACATCTGGGGTCGGGCGGTCAAAGGGTGGACAACTTTTTCGTTCCGCTTGTCATGGCTCTCGTCCTACTTTTCGCCTCTCTGATTTGCGATTGTCCGGAAAGTGGGCTCTCGCGAGAAGGGGCTACCACCTGGACCGCCTACTGTTCCGATTCTTGGTAATGCCCACAGAATTCCCGCACTACAAGTATGTTGCACTTCCCACGATCAAATACTCGTTGAATGTTGGCACTGCAGATTCACGGAGTGGGCAAGAAAATACGGTGACCTGTGTTCGGTGTGTGCAATCTCATGCGAACACACGAGTATTGGATGCTGATCATAAATCGTGGCCACTTCTCTGAGCTGAAAATAGGTAATGATACCGTGGTCGTCCTCACAGATGTAGCGGCCGTCAAGGAGTTACTGGACAGACGGAGTAGCACCACAGCGGACAGACCTCCGTGCTATATTTGGCAGTCTCGTCTCCGATGAGCTGAACATGGCGCTCGCCAGTTTCAGTTGCGTTCAATTGCTCCCAATTGTTTATCGTGGAGCTCATCACACTCTCAGCTCCAGCTTGGAAGACTCAAAGAAGAGCGGCCGCTGCGAATTTAACACCGCAAGCTACCAGTAAACATTTACCCATCCAGCGGGCCGAAGCAACCCAGCTGCTCCACGATATACTTCATTCGCCACAAGTCTGTATTATAATTTAAGCCTATAGCCCATCACTCAAGTCGCGGTCCAATCAGTCTTTCTATAGCAACGTCCAACGATACTCACTCTCGGTCATTTATTCGGTGCTGCACGGGAAACGCGTGCCGCGCTATGAAACCGAAGAAGTCACCAGATTTATCACTGTAATTCATGACTAAACCGCCCTACTCCAGC